ATATACTGTTGGATTTTATTAGCCAGATCTTGTTAAGGATTTTTTTTCATCCATGTTCTTTCATTAGGAATATTGGCCTATAGTTATCATTTTTTATTATGTCTTTGCCTGGTTTGGTTATTAGTTATATTTGCTTCATAAAATGATTCTTGCAGTGTTCCTTCTTTTTCTTTTTTTAAAAAATAAATTAAGTAGAGTTAATGATAATTCTTCTCTGAATGTTGGTAGAATTCAACTGTGAATCCATCGGGGCTGGAGCTTTTTTTTGTGGGAAGTCTTTTTATGATCTGCTCAATTTCATCTTTTGTGATGGGTCTGTTTAAGTGCTCTTCATTGGTCTGTGACAATCAGGGTAATGTGTGGATTTCAAGGTATTTGTCCATTTCCTCTAGATTTTCAAATTTATCAGAGTATAGCTTTTCATAATATTCTAATATTATTGATTTCATTTCAGTTGGTTCTGTTGTGATGTCACCTCTTTCATTTTATTAATAAACTTACTTGTCTCTTCTCTTCTTGTTCTTTTATTAATTTTGCCAATTGTTTATTCACACAATGGAATGAACTACTTGAGGTTTAGTTAGAGGTAAGAGGAGAGTAGCTCATGGTTGAGTGTCCTCCGCACATATATATCCTACATCCTCACAGCTTTTATGAGAAGTTTCTCATTACATAAGCAGTAAAGTACACTTACAAGGTCCCAAGATGATTTTTTTTTACTGTTTGTTTTCTTATTTGTTGACCTTCTCTCTTTCCATGATAATATTTTTTTGGGGGGTGCAAAACAGAACCCAAACAAATTTTAAAAAGACCAAAACCCTCAAACGGCCTAGAAAGACAGAGTGATGTAATGAGGATGTCTGCATGACAGACTGATGCTCGGAGGCAGCAACCTCCATGGCTTCACTGCAGAAATGTGCCCCCAGACCCGCAGAGCCGCCGCACGTGCGTGGAGGGAACTCCAGGAGGCCCATAATAACATTTTTATCAGAAAGTAGCATCAGCAGGAGAATCAAGGTTTTTTGCATGCACGCACGTGCGTGCGCGCACACCCACACACATCCCCTATAAGACAGTGTTCTCTTATTAACATCATTCTTTTAACCCAAGCAGATCATGACTTGGTCAGCTTTACCCCTACATCTCCCATTCCATTTTCATCTTTACAGATTTTTTTGGGTGTAAAATATATTATTTCCTTTTTACAATAGGTTTCAGTACAGATAAAGGGTCATTACTTGCTAGTATAGTTTTTGAGCACCTTCATTACATTACTGTTCAAACTTAATTGTCTAAGAAGAGTGTCCTTAAACATATACAGGAATCTATTCTAAAAATCCATATTTTGCTGGTGAGGCTGCGTGGTGGAAGGCTTTTTCTTTGCTCTGGGACCTGCAACCTCTTCTGGGATGGGAGCTCTGATTGCTGTTAGGTAAGTGGGGACAGTGACCACTCTATTTACTTCCTGTTGAAAGGAGTCATAGTTTGTGAACAGCAGTTAAACTCCTTCAGGCCACAGTCCACAGAAGGTCTGGGCGCTCATGTGAGGTTCAGTGTTCAGACTATATGTATCTTGCTGGAAGTAGTGTAATCTGAAAGATACAAACTTGGAAAGTATGTCACAAAGACAAGATTTTATCAGTAATAGTAGGAACAAGTTCTACTTTCTTAGAGTATTCTATAAAAATTTCTAAAAGAACTAAGATAAATGTTTCAAGAGTAAGCTTGATTTGCCTGGATTTTCTTATTTTAAAGACTAAGTAGAAAAATCCATATTATTTAAAATTAAATAATTTTACTTTTTATTCACTTTCTCTTACAGTTTATTTACTTCCCTCCACACTTTTTAATGAATATTTTTATAATTCATGTACAGTGTGTTTTATGTATGAACATTGTGCTCCATATAGTCTTTCATTTATATTATATTTGGTTCATTTATATTGTGTGATTCTTTTTCTTCCCTCAGAATCATCCTACCAACAACTACTTTCCTGAAGCAGCATATAAGCCAGTGAGTTCATGCTTCATGCCCTAATATCCATCATTTAGTTAATTGCTGACTTGTCCATTCCTATCAAATCAGTAGTCTGAGGAAACAAGTACATCCCTTTTACTCTGTTCAACTTGGAAACTTTGAGCATCTGCATCCATAAGCATCATCCAGTCTTGAGCAAACCATTAGGTTGCAGCAATCAGTCCTAGTTCACAGCATGGATCATCTTCTCATCATCTGGTTGGGTTCTAGTCAACTCATCTCCAGCCATCTGTGGTGAGGTTTAAATGGGCATCTTCAGCAATCTCAGGAGTGCACACTTCTCCCTGCATTCCAGACCTGTTGGTCTCCACACTCAGCTCTAGGTTCCACAGGGGGCCTGGTTGAGTCAACAGGCCAGGGGTCTTAATAATCCCTTGGCTTCTCAAGCCAATAGCACTTCCCTGCTCATCCGTGCATTTGTTCATGCTAGGTGGGCAGCGCTGAAGGAACGTGTTCAAGCTCAGCCTATTTCTCTATTGTTGTGTTCCTCCTACTTCCACTCCAGTGGATGCAAGTGATTGATATGAGTACTTTCTATTCACTTATTCTTACTTCCTAGTCACGTACTCTTACTTTCACTTAGTCTTCTGGGAAAAAGAAAATACAGACCTGCTACTTTAAGATCAAACTACTTGTTTTTCCTTCTAAAACAGTACCACTCTTTCTACTCACCCACAAATTTATGCACACTTTCTCATGCCTTCTACACCTGTTTACTCAATTCTCATAAACTCTCATACTTTCTACAATGGTTTAGTTCACATTACCCGCACCACTTAAAAAAAAGCAAGTTTGAGCTTTGGCTTTAGGCAACACGCAGGTTTCGCTCAATTGACTACACAACCTTTAAGAGTTTTACCACATTCCTGGTTCTTGAAACTTCTGAAGATTCATAGTTCATTTTCTTCTTTTGTAGGTGGATATTAGAGCATCTACATAAACTGGTAACAGAGAAATATCTTCAGTAGTTAACATAATGGCATCAGTACAATGAGACTGACAGCAGAAAACAAAGAGCTAAATAGCAAATGTACTATGGCAAATGGTGGATCTGTGCAGATGTTTCTGGCACAGTCCCAAGAATGTCCTTTGGTTTACTTCGTTGGACTCTCAGGTATATAAAGAAAAGGTTATAAGGTAAGAGTTATCTTGAATTCTGGGAGGGGAAAAAAAACCCCACAAACCAAAACCCTCAAGATGAAAATTCTACCATGAAAAGAAATCAATGGGGTCTTGGATCCAATACAGCCAAATTTAATGTTGTCAAGTAGATCCTGATCACTATAACCCTGGTAACTATTGACAAAGGGATTTTTGAAGATGGGGCAAGAGCTGACTAAAGACCTGGTGTCACTGTAACCACAAGGCACTTGGAGACTTGGCTGTTTCTGCTCTTCTTGGGTTTGCTTCACCTCCTACCCAGGGCAGAGCTAACAGAAAAGAAAAGGCAGAAGAGCGGTCATCTCTCTGATGGCCTTCTTAACCTGGTACAAGCACGAAGATGGGGTCTAGTTCTTTTTTTTTTCTATAACTATATTTTATTAATTTTCATAAACATTTACAGAGATTTTGGGTTTCCATTAATTCATTGTTGCACTATTCTCTCTACCCTCCTCCCAATTTGTTCTTGTCCAAATGCCACAGTGCTTGTCAAAGCCAGTTCTGATTAATCTTCTTTGTCAGTGTGTCCTTTGCCATTCCCTATCACTCCTCCCTGAGAGAGACTTCACCCTGAGTCATAAGGAAAAGGGGATGGCGTATTCTCTTAGCTACGAAGATGGGGTCTAAACCTGAGGATGTGACAGGTGATCTCCTAGAGGTGGGGCTGCTCCAAGGTAGAGGAGTCAGGCTGGGAGAGCCAGAGAAGGTGTGATCTCAGAAACCCACACAAAGGGGGTAGGTGGAGAGGAGGGTGCACGGACTGTACACTGAGTGACGTAGGCGGACTCACATTTTTATTCTGGGAACTCCTAATGAAACCTTTAAAACGGCAGGGAAGGGCCGGAGACAACCAGCCAGCTCCCAAGGCGTGGCCCAGGCTCACAGCTACATTCTGAAGAGCTGAGTTTATTCTTGGGACAACATCTGGTTTCCTAGGTGATCTGGAGAACGCTGGGTCACCACTTCCCATCTGTAAAGAGGGTGCTTTCCCAGCTGATCATTTCTGACCCCACCTTGTGGATCTGTCCTGCGGGTATACCTAGGAGGGTTACCTAGGAGGGTTGGAACTCCTGACCTGAGAAGTTTAGGCTGAGCAGGCAGGACTGGCCAGGGGTTTGGAGCAGAGAAGTCTGGCTCCTGCCTGAGATCTGCTCTTCTCTGAGGGATTTGCCTGAAACCCACGAGTCAACCCTGATCCTAGCCACGTGGGGCTGTGCCTGAGGAGACAGGTTGCAATGGATACAAGGTAAGACTGAGTTTGGAGCCGGGGCCATGGGGTCATAACTATTGGGACAGAGGGCCTGGATCATGCTGGCCTCATGTCTATGTGACCAGGAATAATCCAGTGCTGCTCCAGGGAATCTGGGTTTAGTACAGTGTGTTACTGACCATATGATGGCCTCAGGTAAATTTCTACTTCTCCCATGTCTCATCTCTGTCTGCAAAATGAGGGTTTGGACTAGAACATCTCTGAAGTCCTAGGTTGTTGTCCTTTGACCTAAAGGGGCATTATCATCTCTGTGCCTTGGTTTTCTCTTCTGCAAATGGGAACATAAATGAGGAGGAATCAAGAAGAGGATCCACCATTCCCTGTGTGTAGGTCTTGCAGGTCCTCATCCCAGTCTCTGAAGGTGGCTGGGCCAGCCTGCAGATGGGCAGTTTGTGAGAATTCCAGAAGAACTGTGTGTGACTGGGTGGAGGGCCAAGGGCTATGTGACCTAGGACCCTAGTTCCTGGGCTACTAGGATGATGCGGGTAGGTGTTCAGAGGAGATGGATGTTCAGAGCAAACTCTTTGTAGGATGCAGCAGCTGGGCCAGCAAGAAGATTCAGTTGGAATGCACTCGGAGGAGGATGGTGCCCTGATGCAGAGCACCTGGCCAAAGGAGCTCATCCCCCTGGCGCCGGGGGCCTCAGCCCACCAGGTGGCCCTGCAGAAGATCCAGGAGCTCTCTAATTCAGTAAGAAAGGGAGAGGAGGGAGGCGATTAAAGAGAAAGGGAAGAAGGGGATCAATGGCATGGAAAGGGGAAAAAGGATTCTCCGCTCCTGCATTTGTTGTTGTTAGCATGTGCCGGCCAGTTGTCTCCAACTCACAGTGACCCTTTGACTGACAGAGCCTTGCCCCATCGGTGCACCCTCTTCACCAGCTCTGATACGCTCCAGCCCATTGTCAGCACTGTCTCCGTCCATCTGGTCAAGGATCTTCCTCTGCCCCTCCACCTTTCCCAGCATGAGGTTCTTTCCCAAGGTCTGGCCCCTCCTGTCAACATGTTCCAAGTGTGTGGGACCGAGTTTCACCACCCTTGCCTCTGAAGAGCCCTTGGTTGCACGTCCTCGTTTGTTCAAAGACAGACTCACTTTTTCTTTTGTCAGTTGAGGGAACATTCAAAACTCATTTTCAGCGCCACAGTTCTGTCATCCTTATTCATTGTTTCTACATTAGGGAGGGGGAAAAATAGGTTTTATAGTGGGGTTTTTTGTTTTTGTTTTTTTTTTTAGATTTTATGTTTTATAAGTTGATTAGGCTAAGCCTTGTTCCAAAGTTCTGGTCTCTGGGGCTCTTGGAAAACTTGACCATGGCTGTGCCTCTCTTCTCCCAAATGCTGCCACTTGATGTGGTATCAACAATGCTTGATGATAGGGTGACTGTAGTCCCACCAACCCTCCTGACTTGGGGCTGAGCCACCTCCAGCTCCCTTAGGAATTAAGGATCTGCTTAGTCTTGTCCATCTAGACCCAGATGCCCACTGATTCCTGACATCTGCTACTTAGAGTGAGACATCCAGATTTCTAAAATACAGAACCTCAGGCCTACTGAGTCGGAATCTACCCTTAGTTAGACCCCAAACACTTTTTCTTCTTAGTGATAGCTGAGAAGTTCTGTTTCTGACTCTCCAGGAGTCCTGTTCTCTCCATGCTTGCTACCTGCCACCCCCCATCACCCCATGGTCCTCCAGGTGATCTCCAGATATATTCTCAGTTCTATCACTCCCTTCCTTTCAATCAGAGGACTCCTTCCTGTGATGAGAAGATTCTTTTGCTGTCTTTTCTAAGACACAGTATTTGAGCTCTGGCATCTCCTTTCCTCAAAGGCTAAAGAAAACCACAAAGATATCCAGGCTTCTGCCTGATCACACGCTTCCCCATGCATGTCAGCCACCAGCTTCAGAGAAGCCACTCTTGCACTCATTGCCATCAAGTCAGGACTGACTCAGTTTCTGAGGCTGTAAATCACCCAGAAGAGATTGCTCATCTTTTCCCCCCAGAGCTGCTGGTGGATTTGAAACCCCAGAGCGGTGAACCCTTGGGGCTAGCAGCACAGTTCCCCATGGACCACGCCACCAGAGCTCCCTAGCAGAAGAATAAAAGAGGAGAAAACTAATAGACAATATTTCAAAATATCTGGAGGAACAGAGCTCATCTGAAATCATCCATTCTTGAGACTGAGTCTCCCAGCAGTGAGAACCTGAGAGGATTTGTCCAGACCTGAGTCTCAGTGGTCTCGTCTGTGAGATGGAGATAATTTCTAAATCACCTCTAGCTCCCGGGCACCATGCCTGACATCAAGCAGTTGCTTAAGGAGAACTTTCTTAAAAAATGTTTTATCATCATTTTTTATTCGTTTTAATGAAAGTTTACAGAGACTTAGCATTTCCAATCATTCGTTGTTGCACTTTTTTCCCCTGCCCACCTCCCCCTGCCCCCAATTAACTCTTCTCCTTGAAAAGTGAAAGAAAAACTCTTTTGCTTAATGAGAACTTATTGAATGAGTCCAGATGGGCAATTTTAGTTGGTTTGGTAGAATGAAAGCTGAGGACAGGATGTTTTGTTCACTGCTTCATCCCCTACCTTCAACCCAAACTAGAGCCTGGCAGGGACTAGGTGTTGGGCATGTGTCTGTTGAATGAGTGTAGAAGAAATTGTCTAGATTTTTCTTCCCAACAATTTACCCTTTCCTACCAAGGAGGGGGTACACCAGTCACAAGGTAGGAGACAATGGTGTTTAGAGCAAGCTCCTTGGAATTGGAAAAACCTTTGTCATGTACTTGTTATAAGACTTTAAGCAAATAACTTCACCTACCCAGGCCTTTGCTTTCCAGTCATTACAATAGGGGCAATAACAACAGGTACTTCACAGAGTTACTGTGGGGTTGAATGACAGAACCCACTACACAACCTTTTGCAGTCCTCTTCCTGCCCCCACAGGAACACCGGGATCCCTTCATGGTGGCCGACCTGGGCGTGCTTGTCAAACGCCATCAGACCTTCCTTCAAAGTCTGCCCCAGGTGTCACCCTTCTATGCCGTGAAATGCAACAACAGCCCTTGGGTGCTGCGTATCCTGGTTGCCCTGGGCACCGGCTTCGATTGTGCTAGCCAGGTAAGGCCTCACCCCTGCGGGTCAGATGAGGCCAGTTGTAAGCAAGCAGAAGTCCATCCTGGTGGGTCCTGAGCAAGCTTCCCCTGTCTCGCTGAGCATGCGTCATCTACACGTGTGACCTGTCATGCACGTCATTTATATACACAGTATCCTTGAGCTCCCCAACAGCTTTATGAGAGTGGCATGAATGGCCCCATTTCATGGAGGAGGAAACCAGGATATGGGTGGCTCACTTGACCACAGGCTCACATACAGGGACAGCATTGCCTGGCCCCCAAGCCTGTCTCTTAAGCTGGGGGATAGAAAACTTAGAAAGATGACCCAGGGTTGTTGGGAGAGGTTGGAGCTGACACCAGGTGGTAGGAATGATGCTTCTCTGCAGATGAGAATATTTTCCTGAGGCTTCCTTCTTCCTTTTCTAGAGATCTTGCAGCAAAGAAAGGGTTAAATTCAGTAGCTGTCCCTACATTCCCTTCCAACGGAAAGGGAATGTGTGTGTGTGTGTGTGTGTGTGTGCGCGTGCGCGCGCACGCACGCACGCACGTTTAGAGCTGGGGTCATTGCTCATGCCTGACCCATTGTAGAAACTCAATAGTGGGAACCCCGACGGGCCCATTCAGAACTCCTGTTTGAAAATGAGGGAGCAGTGGTATGAGTCATAAGCCTGGTTTTCCCCCACACTAGATGGAGATGGAGCAGGTGTTGGACCTGGGGGTAGCCCCCTCCCGTATCATCTTTGCCCACCCCTGCAAGCCCATCTCCCACATCCAGTATGCTGCTCGCCATGGGGTGCAGCTCATGACCTTCGACAGTGAGGAGGAGCTGGTCAAGGTGGCCCAGCATCATCCCAGTGCCAGGTGAGACCGGCAAGAGCTTGGACAGGGGGACGGGGGCAAAGTCAATATCATGAATGGATTATGCAACACAGAACCTACCCAGCAAATACTTGCCTATGACAAGTAGAAAGGAGGGCAGTTACGGCTGTCAGGCTATAAGGTCTGGAAGCTGATAGTGTCTGGGAAGAACTCTGCATAGAGGGTCAGGCAAACCCAGTCCGATTTCCCACAATATCATGACCTTGTTGTGCATTGGACACGTTTCTCAACACCTCTAGTGCGCTGTTCCTTCATCCATTCATGCTGCCTGACTCCTAATTAGTACTTTCAAATACTGGCTCTGTTTTCGCACTCACTTCTGTGGTTACACCTGAGGAAGAGGCAACTACGTACATGTGTATCCCCCACATGGACTGGTGCTCAGAGGTATTATGGCACGAAGACTCAGTAAACTTTAAAACCCCACTGGGGGGGGCAGTTGGTCCAGGTTGCTGTCGTAATACACTATTTTGTCAGAATCAACACGTAGCTGACCCACCAGCAGGGGTAAATTTACAGCAGAGACTGTAAATCACACTGGAGTTGAACTGGTCTGGGTGTATGCGGGTAAAGAGGAGATTTCTTTGGCTGAACATTCTTCCTGTCCCTCTCCATCTCACCCCTCCCCCAGGCTGGTACTCCGGCTGAAGACCGAGGACAGTGACAGCAGTATGCCCTTTAGCGAGAAGTTTGGAGCCAGCCTGGAAGACTGTGAGCACCTGCTCACATCTGCCAGAAACCTGGGGCTGACTGTGGTCGGAGTCAGGTGAGTCATAGGTAGTCAGAGTCATAGGTTGTCATATGAGCACAGAGCCGGGAGGCAGAAGTCCCTAGGTGCCAGTCCTGCAGGTAGGACACGATTGTGACCTCCCTGCAGTGAAGTCTTGGGACTTAGGAGTCTTGTTAGAAATGGCCAGGGAGGAGCCAGTGCAGTCCTTGTATAGAGGTTGTCATTCATAGTGGTGCGTGGGAGTATGCACCCCAGGGCTGCACAGGAGCACCTCCACCCGCAGTATCTGTATCTGTGAGCACAGCATGGTCAGTTATGGGTCCAGTGGTTTGGTTCTGCATTGGCCCTGGCCCACCATGCCTTATGCATGATGGTGCCTCTCCGTAGGCCTGTTTGTCTGTGTGCAGTTACCCATGTCTGTGGGGCTCTGAGCTTCTTAATGCACGTAACTCACACATTCTCTGTTTCACGTGCCACTGATTGGACTCAGCTTCCATGTGGGCTCCGAATGCCATGTGGCCCAGAGCTTCATACAGGCCATCGCTGACTCCAGGCGTGTGTTTGAGATGGGCCATAGGATTGGGCACAACATGGACCTCCTGGACATTGGAGGGGGCTTCTCTGGAGTGGATGGCTGGGGACCCACTTTTGAAGAGGTGAGCCAGCGAGAGAGCTGTGAGATGGTCCGTGTGTTCAGGGATATCAGCGTGCATGTGTGTGTGTGTGTGTGTGTGTGTGTGTGTACAGACCTATGTCCCTTTGTTGTGTGCATCTCAGAGTGTGCCTCTGTGCATGTGGGTGGGGTCAAGTGTACAGCCATGTCTTGGTTTCATTCCCCTCTCAAGCAGACTCTGAGACACTTGGGCATAGGTAGTCTATTTAGAAGTTGTGTTGTTGTTAGGTGCTGACAAATATGACTCATAGTGACCTTATGGACAGCTGATCTGAATGCTATCCTATCCTGTACCATCCTCACAATCTTGGATACACTTTTACCATTGCTGCAGTCACTGTCAATCCATCTGGTGAAGGCCTTCCTCTCTTTCGCTGACCTTTCCAAGCATGATTTGCAAGTTGATCCCTTAAATTGTGAATGCGGACGTCAGAAGATGAGACAGGGAAAAGAGAAAAGTCTGTATGAAATATTTATCATAAACAACTGTACCATGGAGGATCAACTGAGGAATCATGTAAAACACACCTCTGAGGTGACCCATTGGAGAACAGGGAACAAGGCCCTTACCACTGACTCCTTCCCTCTTTGGTTGAGGAGTGTGAGCTGGGGTGCTGACTCTCCCACACTCTGAGGCTGTATAGTCCAGAAGCTAAGCACATTCCTTGGGGTGGTTAAGAACTCCCCCAGGGGGAGAAGTTGAAGGATGTAGACCTTTGAGTCTAGAGACTGTCTACGACAGGGCAGATGTGCTCAGAAGGGCTAAGAGGAAATGGCACAGGATGTCACTGTAGCTGCTTCAAGGTCTGTGTGGTTGCATTTTTCTCTGTGACCACATGGGTATGCATGTTTCTCTGTTGAACTCTCATTAATGCCATCAATTACAATCCGCACTCTTGGTACCAGCAGCCAGGAAATCAAAAGGCAAATTGCACTGGGAAAGTCTGCTGTCAGGGACCTCTACAGAGTACCAAAAAGCAATGATGTCAGTCTACAGACTAAGGCGCACCTGATCCAGATCATGGTCTTTAAAAGTATTTGCTTTGTATCAGAAAGCTAGACAGTGACTAGGGGTGATAGAAGCAGAATCGATGCCTTTGAGCTCTGTGGTGCTGGAGAAGAGTAGTGAATATGCCATGGACTGCTAGGAGAATAAACAGGTTCATCCTGAAGAGGGTAAAACCGGGCTGCTCCTTGGAGGCAAGGATTCTGAAGCTCCATCTGACAAACTTTGGGCATATTGCAAGGAGAGACCAGTCCTTTGAGAGTGACGTTATGCTTCAGAGGGTAGAGGGACAGCACAGGAGAGGAAGACCCTGGATGAGATGGACTGACTCAGTGACTGAAGAAATGGGGGTAGATGTGTCAGAGACAATAAAATTGGCCCAGGATAGATCAGGATTCACAGCTGTTGTGCATAGGGTTGCTATGAATCACAGGTGACTTGACAACACATAACAATAACAAGTTATAGCTGGTAATGTACTTTCCCTGGGCGTAAGGACTGTATTGTCATCTTCTTGTTAATAGATGCTGTTGAGTCAGTTCCAACTCAGAGATTCACGTACATGCCCGGTCCTGGCACCATCCTCACAATGATTGCTGTATTTCAAACTTATGCAGTCACTGCGCCAATCAATCTGGTTGTGGGTCTTCTTCTTTTAAAGTGATCTACTTTATCAAGCAAAATCTCTTTCTCCAGTGATGGTTCCTTCAGATAACTTATTCAAAGTGCATAAAACAAAGTGTCCCCACCCTCACTCCTAATGAGTATTCTAACTGAGATTCCAAGTCAATATTATTTACCACATCATAATTCAAAGACATCAGTTCTCGGATCTTCTCTATTCATTATCCAGCTTTCACATGGATATGAGGTGATTGGAAACAGAACAATTTGGGTCAAGTGTACCTTAGCCCTCAAATAGACGTTTTTAGCACTTCAAAGTGGTCTTTTGCAGCCGATTTTCCCAATGTAATACATCCTTTGATTTCTTGACTACTGCTTCCATGGGCTTCGATTGAGGATACAAGCAAGTAAGAGGAAATACTTGACAATTTCAGTGTTTTCTTCATTAATCATGGGGTTGTCTATTAGTCCAGTTGTGAGATTTTTGCTTTCTTTATGTTGAGGTGTAATTTATACTGAAGCTCTTGTCTGTTGACCTCAGCTGCTTCTTCAGGAAAATGGGAATAATTCTAAATCTTACCTCATAGTGCTCCTATAGTGATGAAAGGTCGGATGATGTAGGTAGGGACCACAGCACTAGGCCTGGCCCTTCAGCAAATGTTAGACCTATTTTATCTCTTCCTGTTTTCCACTCTTGGTACCAGCACCCAGGAAATCAAAAGACTAATTGTATTGGGAAAGTCTGCTGTGAGGAACCTCTCCAGAGTACTGAAGAGCAATGATGTCAGTCTAGAGACTAAGGTGTGCTTCATCCAGGCCATAATCTATGAAATTGCTTGTTATGCATCAGAAAGCTGGACAATGACTATGGATTATAGAAAGAGAATTGATGACTTTGAGCTGTGGTCCTGGAGAAGAGTATTGAATATACCATAGACTGCCAGGAGAACAAACAAGTTTGTCCTGGAGAGGGTGAAATCAGATTGCTCCTTGGAGGCAAGGATTCTGAAGCTTGTCTGACATACTTTGGGCATGTTGCAAGGAGAGGTCAGTCTTTGGAGAGTGTAGAGGGACAGTGAAAGAGAGAAAGACCCTCGATGAGATAGATTGATTCAATGGCTAGGTTAATGAGGATAGGTGTGTCAGGGACAAGAAGGTTGGCTCGGGATAGAGCAGGTTTCAGGGCTATTGTACATAGGGTCACTTTGAGTTGTAAGCAAGTCGGTGGCACATAACAACAATAACAACAACAACAAGCTCTTCACTCATGTCCACTGTAGTTCTCACGAGTGATCAATGCTTCCCTGGCCCAAGACTTCACTGGAGAGAGCAATGTCAGGGTCATCGCTGAACCGGGCCGCTTCTATGCAGCATCTGTCTTTACATGTGCTGTCAACATCATTGCCAAGAAGACTGTGCAGGAGCCTGGTAGGTGGGCCAAACGGGGCTGGTAAAGGTGTAGGGGGTACTCCTCAGATATCTTTAGGCTGAGTTTCAGGGGTAAGAGAGCAGGGGATTAGAGTAAGGACTGAAGACTCCCCTATTTCTGCCTTCTCCCTTCTCCCAGGAGGCAACAGGAAGCTGGTATACTATCTCAATGATGGTCTCTATGGCTCCTTCCGCACCTTTGTCAGAGAGCAGCTGCCTAGAGTTCCCATCGTGGTGAAGGTAAAGGGGCCCTCATGTAGCTCTTATATGACCCCCAGCCCTACCATCTGGACTAGCGTTCCCAGGTGCCTGGAGTCTCCCACACTTGGTAGGGTAACAGTGAATGAGTGGTACCCTGGAAGTGGATTCTTCTCATTGATGAGTGCATACATGGGCACATGCTCACCTGGGCGCAGTGGTTGCAATGGCTGGATGTGTGTATCTCTGCAGGGTGGGGTCACCAGGCTACACCAGCCTGACCTCTTTTCCAAAATATCAACATTCTTCTCTACTGATTGTTAGTTGTCCCTTCACATCCTCCAAGGGACTCCCCAGTCACCCATGCTCCCCAGTTCCTCCTCCAAGTCTCATCATCCCTCCGTCAAGCAACTAAAGTCATAACACCTAATCCAGTAGGGCTCTTGGATGTCCTCAAGCTTGAAGGCTGTTATCACTCTGTTGAATGAGATCTAGAGCATATTTTTAAAAAAATATTTTTACAGTCACTCCTGGACAATGAAGGTTTTGAGATGTGTACAAAGTTGTTTGGGGGTGTGTGTGTGTGTGTGTGTGTGTGTGTTTCTGTATTATCGCTAGCTGTGTGCGCTTAAGTGTGTTTCTGGGGTCTCCCTGAGTGTGTGTCTGTTTGTTTCTTGAACTCTCCCTGAATATATGTGTGTGTGTATATTGACCTCTCTTCTGATTTTGTTTGAATGCCAAATACAGGGACACCTTAGAACAGAGTATGCAAAGAGAAGACCACTCTGGTTTGTTAGACCCATATTGCAGTTTTCTAGTTTAGTTGCCAATACTTAAAAATCTAAATGTATCTCATAAGATTCTCCATTTCACAAGCTCTCTTGAAATTTTGAGAGACTGGTGATACGGGGCCAGCATCCCAACCTGACCAGCAGTCACGCTGGTGATGTAGATCTCATGCTGCCTCGGCTGGGATCTGCTGCAGAGGTTGCCTCTGTGTAAAGTCATCTCCTTTCCAGTTTGTCCGTTTTAAGATCATGGCGGGTCTACACCACCCTATTCTTTTTTGTTACTATGTTATTGTTCTGTACCCTTGAGTCAGAACCAACTAGTAGCTGATTCTTCAGCCTGTTTTCAGAGGCAGTAAATCACACAGAGGGAGGTTGCCTGTCCTTCTCCCACAAGGCAGCTGGTGTATTTGAACCCTGTGCCTTTTGGATTGCCGTTGAGGTTCTTACCACTAGGCCACCGGAGGTCCCTATTGTTACTTTAAATAGTAGAATTTTCAACTCCTGCCTTATAACAATAATTGAAGCTGCCAGTCATTCTCTAGATGTGTTTGGGCATGATCAGGGTGGTAAGGTTGTAAATCAGACACTTTCCAGATGAGGAGCCTGGCCCCTTGTGTGCCAGACCCAGCCAGACTGAGTGGGGCATTTGGAGGGATTCGCCCAACTTGAGCACCTGTGTGTGCCTCTGGGAAGGCTCAGGGGAAGATGTGGGGACAGTATTGTCCTCTCTCTCTTCTGACTCCCAGTGCCTTCTTTCCTACTCCTCGTGTCACTACAGGAGCTCAGCTCAGAGGCACCCCTCTTCTCCTGCACCCTCTATGGCCCCACGTGTGATTCCCAGGACAAAATCTCCAAGGAGGAGGTGCAGCTGCCTGAGCTGGACGTGGGCGACTGGCTCATCTTTCCCTACACGGGCGCCTACACGTCCTCCATGAGTTCTTGCTTCAATGGCTTCCCACCAGCCTCCATCTGCTATGCGCTGAGCCCGGAGTTCAGGTGTGCCAGGAGGGGGATGGGACAGGACGGGGAGGGTCCCACGCTGGTTTAAGCTTAGGGGCAAGGGTGGCTTTCAACCCTCACCGTGTGGCTTTCATACAGCTTAGCTCCTTTCACCTTAATTTCTTCTTCATTAAAATGAAAACAATTCCAGGACATCCCCACAGTGCTCCCATGGGGATGAAAAGAGATGATGGAAGGTGGGGAGCACGGCATAGGGTCTGGCATGTTAATTAGAGCTAGATGAGTCTTAATCACTTCTTGCCAGCCAACCACCCCCATGCCAGCTGGCGAGAGTGATCAACCAACCCCCTTACCTTGCTGCTCTGCCAAAATGGAAATGTCCTCCTGGCCTTTGATTCCCATCTGTCTTTGGGACCCTTCCTGGAAGGTGGAGACCTTAAAAGTTGATGCCCCTGTTGGAATAAAATGGGACAGGAATTCCCCACTAGTCTCTGTGCATTTTTCATCTAGTCTGGTTCTCACCCCATTGCAACCTTGTGGTGCCCAGTTACTGATGTGCAGCCTCTGAGGGCTGGGAGGAAGGCACATTACCATGCCCTGCCCTGGGGCACACCCCTTCCCACAGAAACCTTCTGGAAGTAGCACCTTGAACCCAGATCCCGGTCAGGCTGGAAGGACCAGGCACCGCGGAAGGTCGGTACATGGGGACTGTTTTAAACTCAGGGTGGTGACACGCAGGAAGGAATGCTTGGGGAACCCTCTAATCAAGTGACTCCTGAAGCATTTCTGCTCATACTTGGGTTGTTTCTGACGCAGACCTTTCTCATCCTTTCTCTAGCCTTACCCCCTCTCCCTGGCTCTACTGGGGTGGTTGGTGGGGACATTTCAGAAATCACTTCCATGAGTCCCAAGAAGCAAATAAGTGTTGGATCTTTTAAACAAAATATTGCTACCCACAGGTTGAGGAATACCCTAAACTGTTAGGAGTTTGGTGTTGATCTAGAGCCTTAAATTCATGCTGCCTCTTCTCTCTCTCACAGTGAAGATGGAACTCACATCTCGACCAAGGTCATCCAGTATCTGCCTGCTCTCCCCCTGGCTCTGGAATTGCCTCTGCTCGTGGTTCTCAGACTTCTCTCTCTCCTACACCCAGATCTGTGCATCTAGCTGACTCACCTCCTCCTGGACATCTCACAGATTCCCTTAGACCTATCACATCCGAAACAAGCTCTCCGAGGGTCCCAAACTCAGAGAAGGGCCATTCTACCACCGGGATACCCTACCTGGGCTCTCTGCCTTATGTGGCTTCCTCTCTCTTCCCTCTTATGAACGGGCTGACAAATCATTCACCCTGGAAACTTTGGAGAATGACACAGTATGTCAGTATCTTTGTTCTTTGACATCCTGCCTGTTCTCCCTCATACATCTGGCCCACCCACCTTGCTCCTGGCTGCTGCCATGATTCTGGCCATGGACAGTGTGAAAGGCCCTTCTGGCCTCCCTAGCTGAGGGCTCCCTTTCTGTAGTCCATGAGCCATGCTGACCACTCAAGCCATTCATACGTTTTACTCTGCTGCTTCTGCAGAAGCCCATTTCTGGTAGTGCTTGGAATACTGGGTGAAGTGTAAGCTCCTTAGTCTGACCTGCAGAACTTTCCAGAATATACTCACTCTTGACATTTCCAGCCCACCTCATGTCACTCTGTGTACCTCTTCACTCCAGTCACAGAAACCTTCATGCAGTCTGTTAACTGTGTCTTGGCACTTTTGCATAGATTGTTCCTTCTGGCCCCATCTATTTCTATTCAAACTGGTGGCAAGAAGCTGCACTGTAATCCCAAAGGCGCGTGATTCGAGGCCACCAGCTGCTACATAGGAGAAGGATGGGCAATCTCCTTTTGTGTCTCTGAAAACCTGCTGGAGGGTCAGCAATGGGTAGGCTTTGCCTCAATGGTACCCGCCCCCCCCCACGCCCTTACTTACTTTAACAGCCCTGAGCTCCTACAATGTTTGCATGCCATGCTAAGACCACCCTACCTCTCAACGGCCCCTGTGCAGCCCTAGGCCTATTTGCTCTCAGATTCATTCCTGTTTCTTCTCCAGCATGATCCTCTTGTCTTCCCCTAGAAGTCTCAGCATCTTTCAGACCTCAGCATAAAGCCCCACAGCCTAGAAGCCTTCAAGTTACCCCAGAATTCCTGCCAGCAATGTGCAGAAAATGGTTGACCACCTGGCCAGAGACTTCTGCTTCAAAAGCTTTGCTTCCTTTCACACAGATGTAGATTCAGCATGATGATAAAGAAGCTTAAATCTCAGATCCTTTTCAACATCCAGGGACTGAATTGAAGCAATTTTTTAATTCATAATTTTGCATTTCCCCCTTAAGTTTTAGAGGGCTTCTGATCTGTACAGCACAAAACCTCTCAGTTCTAAGGACTTTAGTTTTCAATATCTGCTAAGATTAAAACCACACGTACTCTGTCTAATATGTGAAGAATGAACTTTACTCCTAGAATGTGTCATTAATCTCTTGATCCTGGAAAGTAATTACTAAGTCCCCGGGGATTTCTTGAGTGATTAGAGTGTTTCTTTATTCATGGAGAGTTCCTGACCACACCTGAGAGTTGATCGAAGCTAATTAGGTAAATCATAGTGGAGTCTGGTTATATCTCAAAGACATGGAAGATACTAATTATCAGCCTGATCTCTGAGGAAAGGGGTGGGGGGTGTTGCTGAGCTGAAGGTGCAGTTCAGTCATATGAGCCCTGAATCACTCAGTCATCCCTTTGGTAACAAAACCTCAAGAATAACTCTGAATGTGGACGTTTGGGTGAACTTCCTTGATTGACAATACATCAAAGGATGTTACTGTGTTAAGTGCCATTGAATCAAGTACCCGCAGTTCAGTGACCTTATGAACAACAGATATGAACCCTGCCCTATCCTGTGCCATCTCCATAATCTTATATTCTTGAGAGAATTATTGCAATCACTATGTCAATACATCTTATTTGAGGATCTTCCTGTCTTTCACTATTTCCAAGCATGATATTTTTTCCAAGGACTTTACCCTCCTAACAACATACTCAAGGCATGTGAGTCAAAGTTTCACCATCCTTGCCTCTAAGAGAACTCTGGTTGCACTTTGTCCAAGACATATTTGTTCTTTTGGCAGTTCATTCAGTGGGCAGGGTGACATAGACTGATTCCACAGGGAGAGGACATGCAAGCTTTGTGTTTGGGACCCTCCTGACCCTCCTCCTAGCTTCTCTTCTTTGTATCTTCCACTAATAAAGCTGCAATTGCAAAGACAATATTTTATTGTGTTCTGTGATTGATTCTAGAAAATTAGCTAAGTGTAGATGTTCTGGGACTCTGGAGCTTGTGGCTGGTGTCCTGGGCTGGTATATGACTGAAGAGAGGGCAGTCTGGTGGAGAGCTGGGCCTGTGACATCTGGCTAAACTTTGAGTAGTTAACATCAGAACTGTTTCTCCTCACAATCCCACCCTTAGAATCTATTCGTGAAACCTCAAGCACATAAGGACTAAAGCACAAAAATATTTTTATAACAAAACTGGAAAACACATAAATGCCCATCAGAGAGAAATAGTCCACAAATTAGTTACTTAGTGCTCTGGTAGCACAAGTACCACAACGGGGTGACTTTAAAGACCCAAATTTATTTCTTCACAGATAAGGAGACTAGAAATTGAAACGGAGAGTGTTATTGTAAGAAGACTTTCTTATTTACGTCAACTTCTCATTGTTAGTGTTAGATGCCATCAAGTCAGTTTAGACTCATAGAGAACACAGAATAAAACATTATCCAGTCTTGTGCCATCCTCATAGACACAGCCATGTTTAAGCTCATTATGGAAAATCATGTGACATAGCTTTAAAAAATGGAAAGACAAGTCCGCCAGATGCTCCGCTGGAGAAGGAGGGGCAATCTCCTCCTATGCCAATCAGAGCTGACTTGATGGTACATAAAAAGAAAAATATAATGTAAAAAAATAAATAAATAAATTTTTTAACATGGAAAGAGAATCTGAAGCAGCAATTCCATTATTTGGCATAAATCCTAGAGAAATAAAAGCCACGGCACTGACAGATATGTATGCTCACGTTTGTTTATCTCAGCATTATCCACAACAGCAAAGCTATGGAAATAATCTATGTGCTGACCAACAGATGAATGGATAAACTATGGTACATATATTGTTGTTGTTGTTGTTGTTATGTGCCATCGAGTAGCCTGCAACTCATAGCGACCCTATGTACAAGAGCCCTAAACACTGCTCTATCCTGTGCCAACCTCACCGTCTCTGACACACTTATTCTCACCACCCCAATCACAGAACTGATCCATCTCATTGAGGGTCTTCCTCTCCTGGCCGTTTCTCCACTCTCCCAAACATGATGTCCCTCTCCAAGTCCCTCCTTGCAATATGCCCAAAGTATGTCAGACAAATCTTCAGAATCCTTGACTCCAAGAAGCATTCTGGCTTCACCCTCTCCAGGACAAACCTGTTTGTTCTCCTAGCAGTCCATGGTATATTCAACACTCTTCTCCAGCACCACAACTCAAAGGCATCAATTCTCTTTCTACCATCCCTAGTCACTGTTCAACTCTCTGATGCATAGCACGTAATTGCACACAATGAAATATCAAATGATGTTAAAGGGTGACTGTGCATCTGTGACATACCTCAATACATGGATGAACCTAGAGGATATTTATGCTGACTGAAATTAATCAATCATAAAGGACAAATATTGTATGAGACCATTATTGTAAAGAGTCAAGAAAAGGCTTACATACAGAAAATAGTATTCTTTAAAGGTTGCTGGGGGTGGAGCAGGGAGGACATAGTACTAAATAGAGGTTAAGCATATATGAACTTGGGTAAAGGAAAGAGCAATGGACAATGAAGGGGGGGGAGTGCAGCACAAAACAAGACAAAAGAAGACGCTGAGAGAAGCAAAAGTTACATACCCAACCCTGCAGTCATTGCAAGAGCAATGATGTATGGGTGAGTAAAGGAAAGAGCAATGGACAATGAAGAGGGAAGTGCAGCACAATACAAGACAAAAGAAGACGCTGAGAGAAGCAGAAGTTACATACCCAACCCTGCAGTCATTGTAAGAGCAATGATCTATGGATGAGTCCACAGATAGATATTCAAACTGAGCAGTGACTTAACTTGAACAGTAGTGGAATGGTAAAGGGGGCTACATCCATGACTATATCTATAGGTATGACAGAAGTCATTTCTACAGATGTATTTGTTGGTGATACATAGAGATAGAGACAGAGATAGAGATTGGCATCCACTTCCTAAACAACATGTTTCTGTAAACTCTATGAACTTTGATAAATGATGATAGTTATAGAAATATTTCAGGCTTTTTGTTCATAGGGTCTCTATGAGTCATGGTCAACTCGACCACAATCAACAACAACATATGAATATAGTAGAGCATACAGAGTGCAATTATGGAAAAGTTCTTCTTGTTGGATGCTGTCAAGTCAATTACAACTCAATAGAACCCTGTTGTTTTGTGCCATCAAGTTAGAACCAATCCATCATTGACCCTCCAGTGAGTTTCCAGAGGCAGTAAATTGCACGGGAGGAGATTGCCCATCCTCCTCCCAAAGAGAAGTTGGTGGATACAAACCTTTGGGATCGCAGCACAGCGTCTTATCACTAGGCCACCAGAGCTCCCTACGTAGAATTAACTGAAACCTTGCCTGATCCTGTGCCATCCTCAGAATCCCCTATGTGCTGAAGCCCAGGTTTGCAGTCACTAGGTATTGCCAAACCTTCAGCTAAGATCTATCTGACACCAGTAACAACATCCTTCGTACCATATCATTTTCTGAATCTGGCTTCAATTTCTGGGATATACATATTCATATACATATACATATACATATACATATACATATACATATACATATACATATACATATACTGTTGCAACCATTAAAAAAAAGTCACTTCTTCCAAGCATCCTAAAAAATCTACAACCAGGAGAGGATCAACTAGATGAATGGGGCCTTCTAAGAATCAAATCCCTGAATAATGGAGTGGACTTGGGGGGAGGGATTGTATAACAATGAAATAATTTCTTTTACTTTTCAAAGAAAAGAACGAACTGGAGGG